CCCCAGAAAATCAGGGAAGAGCCTGCCTGAATTGCTTCCGAATACTGTCTTGCTTGCCCACCCTTAAAGAATGTTTCAGCCTTTTTTGCTTATATAATGGTCCTTGCATATTTCTTTCTACTTAATTCAATAGGGCTTACATACTCATACATGTAAATGGGGATTATTATCTTGGTGGGGGGTGGGAGAGAGACTGATAAATGCTCTACACTTTTACATATATTGCAACGTCCTCTTCTTTAAAGAGCGCCAAAAAATTATCTGAAAATTATACTGGCTTGCAGTATCAGGCTATAAAGACAAAATTTAATAGAAAAGGTTCTAAACACCATCATTTTCACAGTTATTATGGAAATGTCAGCAGTGCCTATTAACTGCTGCACATTAATTAGTATGTTTTCTCTATATGTGAATGTATATATTTGTATATTCATTTCTACTCATTTATTTTATAATAAATAGTCCAAACAGAAAAACAAGTAAAAATTACCAGACATTTACATACAATATGAAGGAAGTTCCTTTATTTTCTGCTATGGTAGCACTTGGCAGATTCAGGAATAAATAATCATTTGTAGTGAGGGTATGCCTTATCAAACATATGCAGATCAGCACTAATTAATGCTAATTAACGTTTCCTGTCTATCTAGTTGGAAAAACGTCCAAATGTTATGAAATCAGTTAGTATGCCTATTACCCTAATTGTTTTATGTGGGATGGATCTTAATTAAAATATGTAAATTGATCTTAATTGCCATATACTAATGGGGGTTCATGTTATCTCTCCAGAAGTGACAAGATTCTGAGTAGGGATACTTAACCAAATACCTCTATGAAATCCTTAACTAAATGGCCTTTACCTAAAATTGTTTTTATTTTAAATCTGTAAACTAACATACCTCTATAAAATATTTTGAATGTAGGTGATGTTTCCAACAACAAAATTACATTAATGATTATTTACAAGTTTAAATCTAAAATATCCTTTGAACCTTTCCTATTTTTGAATGAGATAGAAGGGCTGAAATTTGCCTAAAGGGCATGTCTATTGCCTGCTCTTCAATTCTAATGTAGACTATATTTACTGAATGGTACAGGAATTGTGGTCTGCCATCAATTTAAAAGTTTACATTTGGATATGTGCATTCCTTCATTTATCTACTGAAGGAATTTTGCCTGAAAGTATTTGTTTATGGTTAATAACCATTAACAAAATTAAACACATAAAAGCGGGTTCAAATACACTAAGAATATTAAAACCACCATAAAGACCCACCAATTCAAATTTACACATATAAGAAGTAAACAAAAGGGAATGAAATAAAACAAAGCAAAACAACATATATAAAATCAAGATAGTAGAATAAAAAGACTTCCTCATGACATCATTGCAAATTAGGACACCTTAAGCCTTCTTATGACAATAGTAGCCATAAGAACTTGGCAACTCTTTTCATAATAGCAGGGTTCTAGTCTGAGAGTAAGAAATAAACCACTTCTCCCTCCCTGAAAGCTTGATCTCTACTAAGGGGTGCTATAGTTATATGAGCACATTAATATGGGCTTGTTGATTAATGTAAAACCCAATAGTAGTTATATATGGAGACATAGTTACCATTCATAAAAATAATAAAAGAACCAACTATAAAATGCAGAAACCAAGTCATTTTTATGCTAGGGGGAATTCTGTTATCACTTTCCTATAGCTCATGTTGTTTATTGCTGATAATTATTGTTGGTGTTGGTGGGTGTTGTGGTCCAATGATATTTAAAGCATAAGTAGGCAACCTTTTATCCTCAGATGTTGTTCATTACAGCTCTCAGAATCCTTTCCCATAAACCATGATGCCTGGGGGTGATGGACATTTAAGTCAAAAATATTCAGAAGGCATCAGATAGCTATATTCTTGAGTTAGAATAGTTGAATAGAAAAGTAATAATAGAACTTCAGGTTCTCTATTCATGTCTAAAAGTTAACTTTATATCTTGGAAAAATTGATTTGTTCAGAATACCATGTGAATTTTCATATTTAAGTTGATTTTCATTTTTATTCCCATGTCCTGAACACCAATGGGTAACAACAGTTATTCATGCACTATCGGTATTGATGGTATTTTTTCATTGGTGAAATGAAAAAATAAAGTGGACCATCTTCAGCTTCAGTATTTCAAAAGCATTCCTACTCTACCGTATTAATGGAAAACACAATCAAGCAATTTTTCTGAGTTATACTCTGGAACCATTTAGAAAATAATTATTCTATCATGTTAATTTACATTTGGATTCTATGTTTCTTCCTCCAAGGTGTCCAGAAAGTTTTCCATACAATAACTTTCAGAGACTGCATATTCTCAACAATAGTAAATTGTTCCTACTAACTGTCCCCTGAGTAAAGCATAGGAGAAAGAAATGAACATCATTCGCTTTCCCTAAAATGCATGTCCATTAATACAAAGAGTGTGAAAAATTACCTTTTCTTCTAATTCTTGTTTTGGTTTATTACCTGTGGCTTTTATTGTTTTATTTGGGGTGGGGAATTGCCCCTGATTCATAGTTAGAAACAGGTGGGCATTTATAACTAGCATTTGTAACTATCGCAAAGGACTGAGTTCATTTCTCAGGGTAAATACAAATTAATTTCATTCCAATACTACATTTATTCAGATGATGTCTGTCTTGTATATGTTCAACCATGCCAAGGGTGGCAAAATTATCTCCGATCCATGTGTATTTGCTTCTTATCTGTGCCATCCTGTACCTTAATCAATTCTTTCTCTGTTCTCCTTCCTTTTCTGTTATCTCCTCTGGATCAAATATATTATTATAAGATTCTCAGAGCAGGGACTTATCCTCTTATACTTTGAAAAGCACAATGCATGCTGATAGTGCAATAATATTAATAGCAGGGATATTAGTATTACTAATAATTGGGCTAATAATCTTTCAGGCTGAGGATTTTACTTAACTATTGAGTGTTATACTAGAAACCACCCACTAGGTGGGTGATGGTAGAAAACTTTGGCAGGACCAGGAAAATAGTAAAATAAAATGTTTTAGAATCTGTAAAAGGAAAAAAAAAAGTGCCACACTAAAAATCAAAATCAAAAAGAGAGCATTAAAATGGCACTAAAATGGTTCTGGGGCTACAGAAGGTGTGCAATTTTGTTGGCTTGAGGCTGCCACTGGCATATTAAGGGTTTATTGAGGACTACTTTCCAAATTTGACTTCAGTTCCCAAACTGAGGCAGAGGCTTTCACATGTTTGTGATTTTTAAGGTAAATGAGATGTCTTAAGCCTGTTGAAGGCTTAAGGTACCCCCTTTGCCCCTTAATATATCCCAGGCAACAACTTCTGACTTTGAATGGGCCTCAAGGAGTAAAAAAAAAAAAGGGGGGGCAATAAATGGCAGTATGGGGCACATTAGTTTTGCATCCCTGTGGTAAAGAATATGTAGAACATAAATGTTCTAAACAAACAAACATAAATAAATCACAGAGATCATGTGGCCTGTGTCAAATGGCCAACAGATTACAGGTAGTCCTCACTGAATGACCCTAATTGGGACCATTGCTAAGCGATGTGGTCGTTAGGCAAAACATCACATGATTGTACTGCTTAGCATCAGCAGTTTCAGTAGACCCGGTTGCAGTCATTAGGACAGGGCCATGCCGTTGTTAGGCCAGGACCTCATGCTTCTCCTGCTCTGTTGTGCTTACCTCTGCTTCAGCGTGAGCTGCACTGGGTACCGGTTTTTCTTCCGGGTCCAATTCAAGGTGTTGGTTATCACCTTTAAAGCCCTATATGGCATGGGGCCAGGTTACCTGAAGGACCACCTCGCCCCCACGATCTCAACCCGTCCCACCTGATCTCACAGAGAGGGCATGCTCCGAATCCCCGCAGTAAAAGAACTTCGACTAGCGGGGTCCAGAAGGCAGGCCTTCTCTGCTGCTGCCCCTGCCCTTTGGAACATTTTGCCCCTGGAGGTGAGACAGGCCCCTCACTCCAGGCCTTTCGGAGGGACTTGAAGACCTG